ATGACACTTGATTGGATATCTTTATATAAAACTTTAATCCAATTTATAAAAGTAATACTAAAACCAAAAGACTGTAAAGTGTTGAATAAATATTCCCAAGAAACCCTATCGAAAGCTTTTTCTTGATCAAGATTGATAAAACACGCTTTTAAATTTTTTTGCTCTACATAATCGAAAATATTTCTTAATAAATGAACATTGTCAAAAATAGACCTACCTTTAATTGAACAAGTTTGAGATATACCTATTATATTTGGCAAAACATTGGACAATCTATTTGTTAAAATCTTAGATAGTACTTTTCGGTCAATATTTAAAAGAGAAATGGGGCGATAATTTTTCATCATTTCAGAATTATTTTTGTCTTTGCATATAAGAGTTATATAGGATAATTTTTGGGACTGAGACATTTCACCTTCATCATAACAAAGTTGAAAAATTTTGAGTAAAATATCACCAAATAAATGAAAAAACTTTATGTAAAATAACGAAGAGAGGCCATCAGATCCTGGAGATTTTGTATAATCCATTTCTTTTAAAGTATGTAAAATTTCAGATTTTTCTAAAGGTTTGCTAAGTGTAGAGTTACCTAAAGTACTAACTTGTGGCAAATTGTTTAAGAAATGAGAAGATAATTCAGAATTAACTGGTTCTTCAGTGTATAAATTTTTGTAAAAATACTTTAAACTTTCTAAAATATCTAATGATGAACTTTTAATTTCGTCATTATCATTAATTTTAAAAATCGTTTTGTCAGAACCTTTTAATTGTTCAAAATTACAAAAATATTTAGATGGATTTTCATTGCTATCAAATAACTGTGTTTTGCTTCTAATAATTTGACCTTTTGAATATCTTTTTTCTAAAAGTTTAAGTTTAGATAAAATCTCTTCTTTTTCGAGTAAATCAGTTGTGTTTTGATATTGAGATCTAAGTTTATTTATTTCTGAAAATGTTTCTTTATTTTTGTTTTTACTATAGTCTATACAAAAATCTTTAATTAATAATTTCATTTTATCCCACCACTCTAAAGTATAAGATTCAGTTCTTGAAATAATTTGCCAATAAAATTCGAAATTCTCTATAAAAGTTTCATCATCTAAAATACTGTTATTTAATTTCCAATATGATTTGCCAAAAGTTATTGATTCATTTAATTTAAGTTTAAGAAATACAAAATCATGATCAGAAAAATAACAAGGTAAAATGTCACACTTTAATATTAAGTCTTTAAAATGACGAGGTATATAAATTCGATCTAGTCTACAACCTATTAAATTATTTTTATTGTTATTACACCACGTGACTGATCTCTTATTAGGACGGATAGAACGAAAAGAATCTATAAGTTTAAATTTACTAATATTTTTGGAAAATATTTTAGAGCCATAAGAGCCACGTTGAAGATTACCACTGAAAATAACAAGTTTGTCACTGGACAGAGGAGACGTCCCCGGCCCCCACCAGCATCTCGGACTCGGCAGAGGACTCGCCAATCACAAGTGGTGAATCCGAGTCATCTAGGTCGAGCGCCGAGAAAGGATTTACATCCTCAAAACTGGGGGAGCCTTGGAAGGTCTCCTTGCAAAATGTTTTTTAAACGAATCTGTTATCTCACGATCATCTGAAGCTTCTTCTGTCCGTTTCCTCCCTCTTGTTTCATCTACATCAATTGGTTCTTGAACATGTTGTTCTTGTTGTTGTTCTTGCCGTTGTTTTTCTTGTTGATGTTCTTGTTGCTGTTGTTGTTCTAGTTCTTGTTGCAGTTGTTGTTGTTTTTTAACTGTGTCCTGACTTTCTTCTGCTATCTCAACTGTCTGCTGCGAATTTCTGAAATTACTTGGACAATTTTTCTTAATATGGCAAACATTTTTACAAAGCAGACATAAAGGTGGTCTGCCACCACCTGTAACAAGGCACAAATTACCACATATGAATTCAATTAAATGAGGGAAATCAATGCGTTGAGATTCAGACACTTCAACGGTTAAGGTGCGAATCCCATTTGTAATACGTTAGTTATTTACCGGAAAGGCATTAGCCTCATTCCCAACATCAAGAACATTCCCAAACTCGCTGAAAATGGTTCAAATGCAGTCTGTCTTCAAATATGCAGGTAGCCAGTGAAGTCTAAAGTGAACGACATGCTTATCCAAGGAAACAATGTTTAATTTTTTGTTATCTATAATATAGAAGGGCTTGCTCCTTACCTTCTCTAGGTCTTCTTGATCTTCAAGGACAAGGAGCACCCCATCTCAAGCGTCCTTCCCTTTTTGTAGCGCTGTGACCTTCGAAGGGTGTATTTTTTAAAACTTGCCAGTAGCTTGATGACAATTTGAAGTGACGTGAATCCGCTGCTCCAAATCCTAATCGTGTTCTCGACGTCATGAGGATCAAAATAAGACGTCATCAACGCAGGTTTTTTTTAACAATGACCGGCATTCTGAAAATAAAAATCTAAACAAAACGTTAGAAAATTATACTAATTGTAATTGTATCCTCTGAGTCAAGGTCAAGCACGGTGAACGGATTTGTCTGCTCGATACTAAGCGGGGCCTGAGCCGGTCTAAGGGTTTTCAACGGAGGAAAATGTTTCCTAAAATAATCTGTTACCTCCTGATCTTGGCTTCCCTTTGTCCCTCTGCTTTTGTCAACTGATTCATTCATCTCATCGCTCTCATCATCATCATCACTACCATCATCGTTCTTGTCATCATCCATAATTTCTTCATCTTTCTTCTTTTTCTTAGCATCTTTATCTTTTCTTCTCTCTTCCTCTATAACCTGTAACTCTTCGTCTAATTTTTTTGACTTTCTTTCTGATTAGAATCTGTAAAATTCTTTCGAATCTCATAGTAGCTACCAGTGAAAATTTTTGGAACATTAGAACAATTCGATTTGTAGTGCCCAATTTGTAAGCATTTTAGGCATAGCGAGGGTCTGCCGGTTACTGTCATGAGAGCTTTGTTACCACACTCAAACCGTAGCAACTTATTTCTCTCTATCTCTGAAACCTCCATTTTCACCAGACGCACCCCTGACTTGAAGGTTCCGGAACCGACTTTTATTTGATTATATTCTACAGATTAACCTTTTCCGAAAGGTCGGAAAATATACCTCAACTATGGAGTTGGATGTAAAAACGGGAAGCCAGTGAAATCGTAGATTAATAACTTGGGAATTTCCCTTCAGCAGTAGAATACGTTTTTGTTTAACCACTAGTTGCTCAGTAGTATTTATTTCATTTAAGAAAGAAGGAAAGTTAAATACAACACTCACCTCCTTATCTCCTTGACCGCGTGAAAAAAACAATCCCACAGCATTGGGCGGGATTCCTAAAGTTTGCAGGCACTCCACAGCATCGTTCATTGTCACGATTCCGTAAGCCGAGGCATTTTGAAGTTTAAGGGTTCGCTTCAATACATCGTGATCGAATACGACAGAAATCAGAGCTGGACAAAAATCTGTAATGTCCATAGTTGAATAGGAAATATGATACCGCAAAATAACAGATACTACGGTACCTTCTGTACCAGGTAAGTACAATTTGAATATGCCTCCAAAAATGAAACATTTTATTTCACTAAATTACAACAGTCTCCCAGTTAGCAGTTCACATGGACTCCGCCCCTGTGTGCAATTCCAACACCACAGGCCAAACGCCCAAAATCAGTAAAAAGAATCGCCAGCTATAGGCTCTATGTATTCTTAAAACTAATATATGACCACTACAATAACCGTCATCTTCCGCTTCTTTTTTGAACTGAATTCCGAATTCGAGCTGCCATCCGACGTACGGAAAACATATTCAGTACGTTGAACCTACATTTTTATTAGCTTGTGATTCAAATCGCCTTTTCTTACCTTATTTCGTAATGTCAGGCTGCACTTATAGTGGAAGCGGCGACGTGACCACCATGGAGCTGATGCTACTGACGTTACGTCTTTTACGTCATTTCCTGTACACGTTGACGTTATTATATAATAAGGCTTGTGCCAGCATCATATCCCGTGCCTCGTTCCGTCCACTTCGTGCCTAGAAATAGTAAAAGTTTCGCAACATGTACATAGCTTGTTCCGGTTGTATACTAGCTGGGCGAAATGTTTCCTCAATAAGTTTTACTTAACAAAAATGCAACAAAAAGTAACAAATACACACACACTACACCGCCTGTATTATCTCTGTCCGCGAATATTTCTTGTTTTCTTCTATTTTTTCGGGCATTTATCGCTCACATACAGTAATATGACAGATAGAAATCATAAAACTTCATCTAACACGGGGAAAAAATTGAAAAAAAAAGAAAAATAAATCAAAAGTCTCCTGTACCCGCTATTCCCAGGCGGTCACCCATCACCCGGTGCACCCATCCAAGTACTAACCGGGCTCGACGTTGCTGAACTTCGGTGATCAGACGAGAACCGGTGTTTTCAACGTGATATGGCCGTAGACATTAGAATGTAATTCTTTACGGCTTATTTACGAGAACTTCGCTGATACTATGATGTTCTTCCGGTTTGCCCTTTTAATACCTGTTCAAACATTAATACAGTACTATCCCTTATGATCATATATGGAACTATCCCTTATTTTTGTAGAATTATTTCCCGGCCTAGACAAAATTCGCATATACATATATACAGTGCATACTTTTCTCACCATGCATTAGTAAATACCAACTGAAGATATTCCACATAAATGTACACCTGTGCGCACGAGCAACAGACCAATTAACATACGATTCCGTACGTCTGTCTGTCCTTGACAACGGTCGAATAATCACTGTCACGGTGTGCCAGTGCAGTACCGATAGCATTTGTTTGAGAATTTCTTTTTTTAAAGGCACAGTTTGACTCCAAATATAATAGAATATACTTTTTTCATTCAATACTTTGAAAACTGTAACGAGATACCAAACATTAGAAGATTTTGAGAAATAAAATTGCTAGCATGCATTTCTTAGGCATAATGAGCCTTTAATTCCGCGAGCTTGATTAGACAGGGGTTAGCGCGAACGCAGACCCCTACACAAATAAATTGCGTGCCCGAGTTACCCACATTAGGGGTAATCGCAGGCTTCAACCCAACCGAAGTGCAATGGAAGGGTCATTCCTGGAAGCACTTTTTTCTTTTTCATAAATTTATTCATTATATTTACAAGTAAATAGGTTTTAAAATAGAAACTTAACAATTCTAGTATACATATATAAACACTAACAATAAAGTAAATTACATAAATAACACACGTCGTTCTCATGCGTATTCAGTGTCCGTAGTTACAGGCTTTGCGAGTAACTTCGGACAACTTAACACGCATGAGAGACCTTAAACACTTGTATATTAAAGAAACACTTCACATAATTAACTTGAGAGTCCTATATCACACTGTTTATTTCACATATGATTTTTGTTTGAACAAAGACAATTATAAATTCATAAAAATGACGTGTGTATGAAATAATGTATGTAAATTAAATAAGAAACCGGATGTACAATATATATTAGTAAAGCATGAAAGATTAAGTTTTTTCTTGAATTTTATTCTAATAAAAATTTCATAATCATCACGTTTTAATTATCATTATGGAGTCGAATATATGTATACTTATAAATTTTGCGAATTTAGAGAACAAGGAATTATCTTAAAGGAAAACAAAGAAAATCTTAGAAGGAAATGAAGAATACTCCAATGTTCAAAAACACAAGACATGCAACTCCCAGATATCGCAACCTCAACAAATCGGGTGGGTAAGGCCCAAAATCCCGAGGTGGCGCGAAATAAGTCCAAGTCTCGAGCCACCTGTATGGTGTAAGACTCAGACGGACCCCGGTAAAAGGTACACCCAGCCAACCATCCGGAAGCCTGAGAAAAACAGTTGACTCGGTGTACCACCGCCGAGCCCTGTCCGACAAAACGTGATGTTAAAAAGGCAAATAATTATCATGAATTTGAAAAAGTGAAACTCTATCTTGTAAAGGAAAAGTTAGTGAAAAAAAATCTCCCAAAGCCTTCTTCATGTATAAGGAAAGAAACACATACCTGAAAATATAAAAGAAAAAACATCAGATGATTAAATTAAAATATATGATATACGAGGATGATTGAAAGGAGGCAATGGTCCTAAACTGGGTTACAATTACAGATGAAAATGAGTGAAATGGGTATATGAGTGAAATGAGGTAATGGCCCAGGAATGGGTTACATATACATATGCAAATGAGTTATATGGATTATATATACATAATTATTATAATTACAAAATATCAGGTATGTGTACGTATTTTGACATGGATATAAAGCTTAAATAGCAAGTCACAAAATATATAAACAATAAGTACAATATACAGACATATACATAGTTCCTTCCCCTTTCCAGGATGACACCACCGTCTCGAAGGAGTAAATAACACCAAAGAGACAAACCGCCATCATCCTGAAAAGAGAAGAAAACAACAACAGCAGACAGAGTATACACGAAATATTACACGAAATTAGAACAATGAAAAACTTGATGAGATTGATGAGAAAAAATATATAAATTGCAAAGACAGACTGACTTTAACATGCGAGCTGGGCCAATCTATCTTATGCAATTCAACAGAAAAAAATTGTATTCATCACAACATAAAAGTAATAATACATAAGGAAAAAGGAATGTTTCGGGAAAAACCGTATGAGACAGATCAGGCAAAAGTGTGCAAACTGGGCCGATCTGTCCCACACAGTCCCCCACCAACAAAATAAACAAAAATACTTTTAATACGAAAGTAATATGAAAGGCAAGAGACAAACCGACAATAGCATACAAACTCGGCCGATTCGTCCCCCACGATTCAAAAAGACAAGGAAAATGTTACGTCGACGATTGAATATCTATTCGGTCTCATCACGACGAAATGCGTAACGAAGATGATTTCTTTGTAATAACAAAAACAAAAAAGGGAAGTAACTTATGTGTACAAGTAACCGACATCAAAGTATAGTTTCTCTCCCTTTCCACGACGATGGGGTTAAAAGCACATCACGTAGATAACGGCCACCATCATGGAAAGAGAAAGAAAAGAACAAACAGCAGCAAACTTATAACTAAATTAAGTTTTATGATATAAAAATCAATGAAACACATTCTATTAAAAGACATCATTTTCATTCAAAGATGCGAAACCATGCTGAGCCCAAATATTTAAAAAGTGAAGGGAATTAAAACGTTTTTCATCTAAGTATATTCTTTCAAAACTTTCTTATTATGGTGTTTAACATTATTGCGAATTGACCAAATTATATATCTAGAAATTGATAAAATGACTGAACATGTGTATTTAATATCGTTATTAATTTAAGGTAAATCAAAAAATCTAAAAAACCTTTTCACTCAATTTCATTTTATTTTCACTTATTGTGTTTAGTAAATATATAATTAAGTTGTTAAGAGGTTTCAAAAAGGAACATTTGATAAATAAGTGAAAAACTGTTTCAATGCTTTTAAAAATATAACATGATTATTTCCTAGATATATGTTTACAATATAAATAGTAATCAACATAAACAACGTCGACGTCATGTACCAGTCTAAAACAAATATTTTTGTGGGGAGGATAAATTGCATTAGAAAAAATAATTGAAAAAACATTTTTAAAATTTAGTTGTGGAAATAGAATTTTGCATTTAATCATATAGCCTGTATCTAAGAGAATATATAAAAAACTTTAGATGGGTAACTATTAAACACAAAATCTGGATTTTTTTCAGTAAGATGTAAAAGAGCTTTTAAACACATGTTATAAAAAGGGGGACAAGATTCACTATGTGGAAAATTATTTTCATGCAAAGATTTATTAAACTTTTTTAATTGTAACCCAATCCAATATTTCGTAAAGTAATATCAAGGAGAAGAATGATTTGAAATAATATCTTGTAAATATTTTTAAAGGAAAGAATACCATCTTAGGAATGTTTAAACCGCCGTCTTTAAAAGGTAGATATAATGCTTTTCTCGAAAAAGGTTCGAAAGATGAATTCCATATAAATCTAAAAGGGGCTCTTTGAAACAAAACTAAATAATGATCTGGAATAATATCTGCCGTAATATAATAAATAAATTTTGAAAAAGCTAACGAATTTAGAATTGTACTTTTACCTTTAAATGAAAAAACAATTTGATGACACAAGATTTAATACTCTAGAAAATTAAAGAAAACGATCGTGCCATATTTTATCGAAATCAATATTATACCCAAAAAAATAACCCAATAGTTTACAATTTTGAACCCAAGAAATGCCAAAAGGATGGTCAGACCGAATTTTCCACTTACCTTAATATAACCCGTTTGATTTCCTATAATTGATTTTTGACCCAGAGACTTGTTGAAATAAGTTTACTTCGTGAAAAAATTCCTTCATTGATAAATTTTCTGTAAGTATAGTTGTGTTATCATCGGCATATAATAACATTTTGACCCCGAACTTACCACCAGGAGAAATTATACCCTTTAATATTTGGATTATCTTGAACTTTTTTAGCAAATGGTTCTAAACATAAAACATATAAAAGAGGAGAAAGAGAACAGCCTTGACGAACAGAACGCGAAAGAGAGAAAGGATCTGATATATGGTGATTAATAATTACACTAGACTGAATATTTTTATATAAAACTTTAATCCAATTAATAAAATTAATGTTAGACCCAATAGAATGTAAAGTATTAAATAAACATTCCCATGAAACCCTATCAAAAGCTTTTTCCTGATCCAAATTAATAAAACATGCTTCTAAGTTTTTTTGTTCTACATAATCAAAAATATTTCTAAGTAAATGTATATTATCGAAAATAGATCTACCTTTTATAGAACAGGTCTGAGATATACCTATAATATTTGGTAAGACATTAGATAACCTATTTGTTAATATTTTAGATAAAACTTTACGGTCAATATTTAAGAGAGATATAGGACGATAATTTTTCATTAATTTTGAATTATTTTTATCTTTACAGATCAACGATATATAAGACAACTTTTGGGAAGCTGACATTTCACCGGATTCGTAACAAATTTGAAAAACTTTTAATAGAACATCACCACCTAATGTAAAATAAAAAAGAAAGACCGTCACTACCAGGAGATTTTGTATAATCCATTTGTTTAAGGGAATTTAAAATTTCAGATTTATTTATTGAACTACTAAGAAGTAAATTATCAGATGAACTGACTTGTGGTTAATTATTTAAAAAATGTGAGGAAAGGTCTGAATTAACAGGTTCTTCTGTATATAATTTTTTATAAAAATTGCGAAAACTGTCTAAAATATCTAATGATGAAATCAATTAATTGAGTTTTGCTTCTAATAATTCTACCTTTTAAATATCTGTTTTCTAAAAGTTTAAGTTTGGTTAAAATCCCGTCTTTTTCGAGTAAATCAGTTGTATTTTGTTACTTCAGATCTTCTATATTTTTATTCACATTATCAATTATGTCTTTCAAAAGTTCTTCCTTCTCTTTTGCTACCCTTTTCATTGCATAACCCTGGCTAACAAATTCTATCCTTTGTGTTGTTTCTGCTTTTATAAAACATCACACTTTTTTGAATGAATGGCATTCTAACTCGCCTCGGTTCATTTCGGGTTCAGAATTGCTTCCACTTGGTGTTTTTTTAAGTAACCTCCACTTTATTTCTATTTTCACAAGTATCTTTCATACCATACTTGTCTGCACATTTAACCTCTTCATCTAAGTACATCTGTTAATGGTACATAATATACCCCTTTGTTACTAGCAAATTAATTCTTTGGTAAGTTTTGACACTCTTTTTTTCAAGTTTTCCATTAGTTTCTTTATTAATAGTAACCTACTGTTTCAATGAGGCCTCCATGACAGACAATAGGACATAACAACTTAAGAGGTTTTCGACGTTTCCTGCTTTTACTTAGAAAATATTGAATATGTGGTAAAAAAATATTATTGTTACCCTTTGGGAAGGCAAGCACTAAAAAAGTCGAGCGCGCTGTCCTTCTGACAGCTCTTGTTGATACAACTTATCACCACTTGTTTTGAATTCTTGAATGTCATTTTCTAATCTTGCCTTCTTACATTTCAGTTCAGAAATTTCTTCCAGTTTGTGTTTTCTTTTAAGTAAGGCCTCTTGACTTTTTTCTTTTCTCTTTCACTTTCAAGATATCTTTCATATTTCTGTCTGGCACATTTAACCTCTTTCATTAAGTCATCTGTTAATGGTACATTTAATATACCCCCTACACTGTTAACATAGTCACAAATAATTCTTTGAGCAACCAAACTCTTTTCTTTCAAGTTTTCCACCTCTAGTTCTTTATTAATAGTAAACCCTCGTTCAAATGAGGCCTGCCCATGTGACAGTAATAGTAACATTTTAACAACTTTAAAGAGGTTTTCGTACTCCTTCCCTGACATTAAGTTACTGTAAAATATATCAAGTGACTGCTTGCTCTTGTCAAATTGAAGAAATATGTCTGTTCCCATTGCTGGGATATTATCCACAAAAGAACCAATCTGATATATTGTGATGTCACAATCACTTTCATCGAGTCTTGAACTGTCAAGCAATACTGTGAGTAACTTTGCAAAATTTTCTTAACACTGATCAGGCGCTTTTACCATTTTCACTGGGTTCAAACAAGACAGAAGACGTACTGTTGAATATGATATTGGAGCCTTTGACAACAGTTTTTTAACTAACTCCAAAAGACAATTTTTTTGCATCCATTTTCAACTCCTTTTTTTTACGTTCACTTACATTTGCTTCCTTGAGCGTTTTACTTGCAGAAAACCCAATATTAATGTCTTTGTAGTTTTTATGTAATTTTGAGTCTGTAACATCCATTTTTGACAATTTGTTATCAGACTTTTCAATCTTATCAGTGACAATGAATAATTTCATCAAAGTCCTCAACATATTTGACATATCATCCCCTAAAAAACTAATAATTGATCGATTTGTCTGATATATTGCTAAAAAGGGCTGTAACTGCAGTGCCACAAACTTGAAGAAATGAAGCTTGGGCAAAAGTAAAGTGTCTTTCATATGTTCTTTAACAACTTCAAATGATTTATTTCCTGGACTACTGACTTTTTTCCTCTACAGCCTTAAGATATTTTGCAATATGAACAATAATTTGCAGTACTCTGTCAACTACAGGCACGTTTTCTAACCACCTGTGCTGACAGAATTTCAAAGGCAATAATGAAGTTCCTGTAATTTCTGTGTAATCTTCCCTACGTGCTGGTGAATCCTTAAAGAGATAATAGATTGCAGCAAGAAAATCTCCCACTTTCCAGCCTGTGCTTAAAAATCCTGTTTTGAAGCTATTATGAACAACTTGAAGACCACATGATCCTATATTTATTAACTTTGTGCCATATTGAGAATGTATTTGGTCTTTAATTAGCCCAAAAAACTTCCAGTTAACATTGGGACCATCCATTCCAATTTGTGAATCTCTTTTTTGTCGAGCTTTCCAAGTGCTGACAGAAAATGACCAACCATATCATCACTCTTAGCATGACCTGTTAAAAACAAAAGAAACGTAATATTTTTTTTTCAAAAAGTATTTGTTGTAATCTGCAAAATGACTATATTTCTCAACTGTCAACAATGCTGTGTTACAGAACTAGCATTTAAATTACAGTGTTACTGCCTATGCTGACATTTGCATATTTTTAAATTGTGATTTGGTAAAATATAAATGAAACAGTTTGTAACATGAAAGAAATGTTATCATTACCAAGAAATTGTGAGCTGTAATAGCGTGATTCGATCTGATTAAGCTCCTCATTCCAGAATCTTATGATTATATCCATCTGCTTTTGTTGCAATTTTTTGTTCAGGTTTTCGTCAAAGATTATTACATAATGTCCAGTAATACATTGATGTAAACAATTTTGGAAGTAATCTCCAAGTCCAAAAACAGCTATGTATGCCGCTTTTCGTTCCCCACATTTAAACTGTTTGGCTACTTTACTATCAGGAAACATTCTGTTGAAAAGTTTATCAGTATTCTCAGATGATTGATATTACTGATGAGTTGTAATTAATTTAAGAGTCCACAGAATTTCAGCTTTTATTACTTGCTCTTTTTGAAAGTAACAGCTCACTGGTGTGTGTGGAAAAGATTTTGCAGTAGTTGCTTCAGAGGGTGGGTGCGGTATTGTCAGATTATTAATATTGTCATCTTTATTCAAGATAGTACTTGAACTTAAACTGAAGAAGCTAGTTATATCCTGATTACATTCTCTCACTGTTGTGAATTGTTTGTGTTTCTCACTTTTAATGTGCGATTTTATAGCGCTTTCACCCATGGCTGAAACGTCTATTACCTTATCACAAGCGCTACACATCGCCTTTCTTTTATCACCCTGGAATTCTTTAATGAAAGGGTATTTAAATACCCATTTTGGCGAGAAATTACATTTACTGTTCATTTTCTGATGAATCACCCCAACCGGTACGTGAAATTTACACGTCATGAATATTTCAATCGTGTATAAAAGCCGATACCCGTTCCGTACCGTCTTACTATCCTGTTACGAAGTCGTATTTTTTAAAAAAAAATGATGTATATTTGAGTTTTCTTGGTTTTTTTTGTTTCTGGCCGCTGTTTTACTCATTTTAGTCGTTTTGTGGTACTTAATGAGGAATTCATGGATTACTGAACAAAATTCTCAAGTTTCCTGTAAAATTTAAGGAGTTTTCAAGGACTTTTTCCCTGGAAAAAATTCAAGGAGTTTTCAAGGACTAACCACCAAATTCAAGGACTTTTCATGGCCTGTGCGAACCCTGAAATACATTGAAAGCTTCTAGGATTGGACAGCTGCCTGAAAATCTGTTATCAATATTTTCCACTAAAGCACTTATGTATGTTTCAAATAGTGAATTTAATTCCTTTGAATCTCTTGGATTAATTTTTATTTCAGCACACATGTCAGTATGATTCTATGTCCTGACTGAGATTTTTAATCGGTACTGCATCAGCAACAAGGTGACGTAGCTTGTCTTTAGTCATGTTGACAGCTGGTAAAATAGCTGCAAAACCTAGAAACCCCTTCTGAAATCGACGTGACAAATCACCTAGAATTGGGAGAATGTCCTTAAGTATGTATATAACACCAATGAATTTAAGAGTTTTCATCTTCATCAGTAAACCTAATGCTGCTGAATCTGACTCCTGTACCTGAGCCAATGTTTGGAGAATTGCTTCAAAATCATCATAAACTGCTCTTACTGCAGCTTCTAAGCTCAGCCAACGAGTGCGACAGGCTTTCTTCAGACGTTTGGTGACACGCTTCACAGCCTTGCCTTCAAGCTGTATGGTTTTAAGACGGCTTGGTATCTTTAAGAAGGCAGCCATTCTTTTTGGCGAATTTTCAAAGTATTGCTACAATTGTCGTAATAATGTTTCTACATTGTTGATGTATTTAAAAGACGGGTTACTATCTGTACATGCCAGTGCTAGGCGGTGGCAAACACAATGAACATTTAAAAGGATAGGATTGACTTGTTTTAACCTTGCAGCAACACCAGATCGTTTCCCAACCATCACTGAGGCACCATCGGGGGCCAGGCCTGTGACAGAAGACAAACTTAAACCACAATGTTTCACAAGTCCATCAATAATCAGGGCAGAAATTGCCTCAGAATTTGCAGACTCAAAAAATGTAAGTATATTCTGACAGGCCAAGAAGTGTGTTTCAACACTGCCAGTGTCTTCGCAAAAAAACTGTATGAAGGTAACAAGATTTTCCGCAACTGATACGTCGGAAACTTCATCTGTGAGTAACCCAAAGACTGATGCTGCTCTCACCTTTGACAATAAGTTACTCTTCATTGTCTGACCCAAAGTCAAAAATGTTTCATGTTTAGCTCCCCTGGATCTATGCTCAAAGTATTTAGACTGTCAACATGATATACCCTTTCTATATGATTTAACAAAGGAACAAACTGTCTGTTTGCAATAAATGCTTTAATCAGGAAATATGCACTAGTGAATGCTTGTTCTAAAATCTCATTTTGAGTTTCTGACTGTTTTGTATTTCTCTATAAAATAAAGACCCTTTGAAGCATTTCACTTTCAAGCGCTGTAGAATGTAGTTTACTTTTGCTATGGGTATTAACAGCATCTCCTTTTAAGCGAACACTAGGAGTTGCTGCAAAAACTTCCATTTGCTCCACGTAACAAAGCCACCAGTTTTCTTTACTCAGCCAACTATAATTAATTCTTTTGGGGCAAGCCTTTGCTGTTCATGCACACTGATACTAGAACAATATGTTCTCTTACAAAGACATGCATTGTGAACTGTTTTTGAGGGTTCAAAAAGTTTCTCTACAGTGTTACATCACTGGTAACCAGTCCAAGCTCCAGTCACAGTATTCCAAGATTTGGCACTCTCATTTATGATAGAAGAACCAGATGGTGTCTTGCTACTACCAGCTAAGATGGCGTCATCTAAAAAGTTATTAAAAAAATTGGGATAAAAGCTACACAATGTTTGTCTTGATAAATGTACATGTACCATCAATTTGCTAAGAAAAGAAAAAAACATTTACTTACTTGGTATCAAGAATGAAAAGTGCAACACTAGATGTTGTTTTTGAAATATCTACATTTATCAATGAACACAGAGGACTAAAAAGTTAAGTTTCTTTGTTTGAATGGTTTTACAGTCTGCATTATTTACATACATTAAATACATGTACACAGTTTGCCAAGGTCATGTTTGTAACTACATACACTGAATAATGTAAGTTAATTTCTTTACAAATTTTAATAGTGTAGTATACATACCCAATGTTTTTTCTGCTGACTTTGATAACTGAGGAGTTTCAGGTAAGCAGACAGGTGATCCACTCACTTTGTCAAAGATATTACTCTTCTCATTGGCATCTGAAAGAAATCATCACAGATTAGTATTAAGTGGAATGAAGTGCAGTAAAGATTAAGTGCATAATCCATTGTAGAATGCTGTATTTGAAATATCTACATTTATTTATAAACATGGAGGACTAAAAAGTTAGTACCTTTTGAATGTTTTTAAAGCCTGCAACATAAATACACACATTAATAACAGATTGTCAAGTTTGTATCTTCATACTAAGTATGCAATTTCAAATGTAAGTGGATTTCTTTACAAATTTTTATAGTGTAGTATACATACCCAATGTTTTTTCTGCTGACTTTGATAACTGAGGAGTTTCAGGTAAGCAGACAGGTGATCCTCTCACTTTGTCACAGATATTACTCTTTTCATTAGCATCTGAAAGAAATCATCACAGAAATTATTGTATGTATTTCAAATATATTCTATAACAGAGCTGAAAACATTTGGGCTTAATAGAATGTCAAACAGAAATTGTCTACAACTACCAACAGCAACAGAAATTGTCTTCAACTACCAACAGCTTATACAAATATGAAAATGCTTTCACTAAACCGTGTTTATCTCACAATCCCAAGTCTATATAAATAAAGTCTTACAATAAAATAATTTATGAAATAAAAATACTGCTGCCTAATACCATACATCTCACGTTTAAAATTCTAATTCTAAATCTGTTATCAAGTATAGTAAATTTGGCAACTGAAAAAAAGTAATCACTTATGATTTAAACTATTCAAAAGCAAATTTTGCAAACCTAGAAATGTGTGTTGTTAAACAGCAATACCTTTTTTAAAATAAGATTGTACCTTAAAATTATTTTTAATTTCCATATGTCACGGATATACGTGAGTTCTCACTCGGGAGGATAGGGCGTTCAAAGAGGAACCTGTAAATATATTGTTGGCACACAATAAAATATAATACGGAGTCAATGAAAAAAAACAACAGCTCTCGCTAAAAGTTCTCATTTCTTGTGCTATTGATAATTCCAAGCGAAATACATACACATATCATAGTAATTCATGTTTACAATGTTTTATAACCTCAAATATATACCTGTAAATATATTGTTGGCACACAATAAAATATAATACGGAGTCAATGAAAAAAACAACAGCTCTCGCTAAAAGTTCTCATTTCTTGTGCGCATGCGTAAAGGTT